GCATAATGTAATGTAATGTTTACTTCACATTACCTTTAAAGTATTACCTTTAAATTTAAAAACAATTAATTTGATTAATTTCTTTTCCAGAAAAGGCTTAATAAACTTAATGGATTTAAACAAAATTTGTGTGGGTAACATCATTGTACATATATTTTCCATTAATCGCATAATTCAAACACTAAATTTAAAATATTTCTTATGTGTTCCCAAAAATTGCGAAATACGACAGGGTGTCCCCCGAAACATGACAATTGGTGGAAAGTCCAAAATGTCTTCTTCCATAATTAGTTAAGTTGTTTGATACTAAAGAGAATGATAAAAAATATTGTATGCCAATCAAATTATAGTAAAATTTATTTCAAAGTAAAATAAGTTTGAGGAAAAGATGTTTTTAACGAAATAAACTGCAAAAAGTCTTTAATATCCAATATACAATACAATACAATACAATACAATATATAGGGAAGAAGACTTTTAAAACTATTCTGTTTCTGGGACACCCTGTACCTCTTATAATTCTTAAGCAAACTATTGACTACAATTTTGTTTTAATATTTTTGCAGAATTTGCTTTTTTAAGGTCAATTTTGGATTGCATTCCACAATTTTTGAAACATTGCGGATGAAAAGCTTTATAGGTTTTTGTTTAAACCCCAATCTATTTAACATGATTTTATTTTATTCGGTTCAGCTAGAGACTTAAACATATTTTAGAAATGAGAGGGATCATTAAAGTATAATCCATGCATAACTGACAGTTAAAACTATTTTTTTATGAATCATAAAGATTAAGAAGTTTAAATAATTTCAATAATCTTAATAATAACATTAGAAATAAAAAAAATTCAAATTTTCTCTGAAATAATTCCCAAGTATATAAGGAATATTTGAATTCTTTTTTTGAAAATTAAAAGTAGAATTCAGTCGTTTCTGAATTTTGCCGTAAACTATTTCTGAGAATTTTAAATGTTCGTCTTTGCTGCAGAATAGGATTTTACAAGAAGTTCCGTGAAAAACAGTTTTTCAAAGGTTTCAAGTTTTCACGAAAAAAATATTGAGACTTTTGCCAATTATTTACTTAAGGCAAAAATAATTTTATTTATGGTTCTAATACCCAGTCTTGAACATTTAGGCAACTTTTCAGACCAGTCTCGATCTATGTGAGGCGTTTGCTTTTATTTTAAGTGGACGTAATCGTCGATTTTAAGATTCAAGAGTCTTGATTGTGACTTTTTCAAGAACGTTAAAAAGAGTTAATAAACACTAGCTGAAGGGCCCGGCGTTGCCCGTGGATTTTTTTTTGTTTAATAAGAAATTCTAATTTTGTTTTAGCCAAGAACACCCCCCGGCCACCCATTAGTGTCCACAAAAATTTCAGCCAATCGGTCCAGTCGTTTGGCCGGCTGTAGGCAACATATATCCGAATGTCTTGTTTTATTACACAGATTTAAAAAGTATTAATCTCTGTTTGCCTGTTTGCTTATAAGTCAGATCATAGAGAACTCATTAACACCTTAACCAATTTGCCTCAAATTCTGATTAGGAAACTCGGGAGAACCACAGAAATATGTTCAGCTTTTTTGAGATATAAGTTGAGTGGGTCCACTTTTATTGGAGTGACATTCACGTGACATTTTTGGATGAGATTATACACCAATGAGAAGACTTTTCACAGCTTGAAACTTTGCTCTGTAAAAGTTTACTAAGTAGAACTTATAATAGAATATTAAACAGGGACCAAAGTTTTGGTAAGTTTATTTGTTAGTTAGGATTTGAGAGGGCCGAAAAAACGACCGTTTTGATAAATTTCGTCATTTCGTTAACGATCGTTAACATAATTGTCAATAAAATTTTTTTTAAACAATCGCATAAAAAACGGTCGCAAATCATTTTAATATAAACAATCGTTTTCAAAAACGATCGTTATTCGTTTTCTAAAAGTTCAAAAAGAGCGGGTCGTTTTTAAAAACGAAAACGAAACGATCTTTTTTGAAAACGAAAAAAAAACGATCGTTTAACGATCGATTAACGATCGTTTACAAAAACGATTAACAACCCTAACAAGCTTAAAAGACGGTTTGGATGCTCTGCTTAAAGGTCAGGCCAATGACGGTCTTCCATGAGGGTTCGAAGTAGAAATGTCCCGAATAGAATCGAGAGACGAAGGATCCGAGGAGAGAAGTCGATTCACAAAATGTGGCGAAGATTTGTCTGAATTATCCGGCTGCAATTCAAGAATTTTTTATCAATTTTTATCAACATTTTTTCTATACTTTGTAGACTTACTCATTCAGTTACAGACAATCAATTTTATTTGGTAACAATAAAAAAACGTTCGCGGATTCAATAATATTTTTTCGTGGATTTTCAAAATTTTTGTAATTCCATAAACCTTCCCTGGGGCCACTTAAAGTCCCACTAGCAATTTTTAGCAAAGCAAAAAATTGAAAAAATAAAAGTTAATTTAAGTTTTATTTTAATCAAAAACAAAAATATATATTCTAGAAATATATGCTATATGCATCCAATTTATCATAATTGCACGAAGATGATTTTATATAGCAGGTCTATAATTAAATTTATTATGAAGGGTTATGAACAAAAGTAAAGAATGTAGTAGTTTCATAAAAAGGCTTGTGTTTATTTGATAATGCAGAAAAGTAAAAGTAAAATGGGTTTAATAAGTTTAATAAGTAAATAGTTTAATAAGGTTATTAAAACTATTTGCTTTGTGCACCATCAAATACACTGAATTCTTGCTATAATGTTATTCTTCCAATCCCATTGTTTTCTGGTTATTACTGTATACCACACTTGCTGTATTATATTTTTATGTCTGTTTCATTTTGACTAATAATTTCCAAAGATAAAATTTATCGGTCGTTTTTCTTCTCCCCAGGTTTAAAGGCCCTACTGTAAAGTAATGAACAAATCAATTACAAACACATAGATGCATTAATTTCCCCCCTTAAAAATTGTGTGAAGCGGAAATTTGTTTTAGCTGAATTTGAATTTTCATCCAAAGGTGCACTTTTTAATCTTTGAAGTAAAATTTTCTAATATATTTTTTTCAGTCTATATTACTATACCTCTTCACGCATGTCAGCTATAGCTAGAGTCTGGGAGTAAATCATCATCATTGGAGTACTATTGGAGATCTCCTTTCATTGGAGGCCTTTGGAGACTTCCAGAATATCGTTGGAGACCACCATATTTGCAGTGGAGACCACCATATTTTCATTGGAGACCTCCATATTTTCATTGGAGACCCCCATATTTTTATTGGATGCCCCCATATTTTCATTGGAGACCCCCATATTTTCATTGGAGACCCTCATATTTTCATTGGAGACCACCATATTTTCATTGGAGACCTCCATATTTTCATTGAAGACCCCCATATTTTCATTGAAGACCCCCATATTTTCATTGAAGACCACCATATTTTCATTGGAGACCACCATTTTTTCATTGGAGACCTCCATATTTTCATTGAAGACCCCCATATTTTCATTGAAGACCCCCATATTTTCATTGAAGACCACCATAGATGTAAACTGTTTAAATGAGATCTATGAGATTGCACTTTTTTTGTATATAATTGTCATGCTTAAAAAGGAATTGATTTTTTGCCTAAAACTCTAATTTGCAACCTGATGCATGATGGCACACTGCAAATCAAGATGTGCAATATCTCACACAAAAGTCGAGAAGTATTTTGCCTATTACTCATTATAAACTTTCAATAAGGGGGGCAGAAAATCCCCCCCCCCCATCTTTAGATCAAAATTATTACAAAGGAAGCACAGTACTCTTTAAATTTTATCCCACAAGCCAAGCACTATATTTGTATAAATCTACGAATAATTTCAACAAAAATCTGTAAAATTATCCCTCGGTTTAGTTTTCAAATTTGGATTTTAAATTAATGTTTGCTGATAGGGAAATTCATGCATTTGTAATTTGTATGCTAATTGTGTTGCAAAAACCTAGTATGCAAGAATCCATTTTTTTCTATTATTGTAAACTTTACAAAATTATTAAAAAAGGGAAGATACAAGATCGAAGTGCCTCGAAAAAAAAAAAATATTGCAGAAATATTGATTTATCGAATAGATGTTAAAAGTTTTTAAAATCTAGCATAACACATTTTTCTAACGTTTAAAAAGTGTTTACCATATACTAAGACATTCAAATATTTGATTGAAACAAAAAAGGATATATTTAAGAAAAGTGGGATTCAGTGAAGAAAAGAAAAAATGTAGACAATTGGTGTATCAACAGTTCTTCGTTTCTTTAAATAATTATTTATTTTAGATGTTAGGTATTTTTCTAAAGGCATTTTCCCAAGGGCCGCTTCCCAATTGACAAATTTTTAAGCGCCAACTTCCCAAAGGTAGGACGCTGCGGCTAGAATGGGCTAGGGGAACAGCGCTGCGGCTAAGACAAACTTGGGAAGTTGCCGCGTTTGAAACTGCATAGTTGGGAAGTTGCCACCTGGGAAAATCCATTAGGAAAGTTTCTAACATATTTTTTACGTTTGCAAAGATATAGGGATTGACACATCAGAGTTTGTGGCAAAGACTCAATTTTCTTCCATATTATTAATAATATAAAGATTTCAAGGTTAACCTTGTGAATCGGACATTGCTTTAAGAAGAATGTAATTAAGCATCTCTGATCTATTATCAGTTATCTACAACGTACTATACACGTCTATACATATATTTATATATAGTTTATTATCAGTATTCTTAATGGGATAACCTTGACCAAAATAAATATGTATACACGTCAGGTTGCAAAGATATATTAAATAAACTTCGTTTTTTATCTTGCTACAGCTGTAAAACCTAAATTTTATAATACGAATCTCATGAAGTTCATCCGCACAGCGATTTGATTTATCAGAGTGATTGGGACCCACCCAGAACTTCGAAGAAGTAGAAAGAATTGAAACAAATCCGTCTTGACAATTTTTTTGACGGGTTATTATTATTATTGACAGTGAGCTAAAAATCAGGGAAATATGATTCAATAAAATCCGGGAAAACAGTAGTTTGGGTGGCACAGCTGGGCAGTGGGTTCATCAGGTGGTTGAGTGAGAAGTAGGGAGTGCTCGTAGATTATACTTAAATATTAAGATGAATCAAGATTCACCATGTGACACTGTAAACCTCGTAAATCAAGGTAAATATATATTTTGACACATTTTATGGAGAAATGGTATTTTATATTAAAATCAAAACAACCTTCAGGTTTTTGAACTTCAGAAGAAATTGTGAAAAGTATAGATTGCATGAAATATGAATAAAAACAAGTGAGTGAGTCCTGAAAAGCGCAAAATTCCTGCAACTATAAAGTTTTCAAACATAATTTACAGGATGCAAACCTAGATCTTCAAAAAAATAATTTTTTCTCTGAACCTTAAAAGTGTATTTTTTATTAAAAAGTTTGTTTGTACAATTTCTGGATACGGAAAATTTCTATATTGTGCAGATGAAAAGATGTTTAGAAATTTGAGAAAAAGGTAAAAAAAATTCTCCGATATTACAGCTTACTAATAGTATATATGCATATAATTTTTTTTTTGTTAAATTTCCTATAGACAAACCCTTCAAAGGCTTCATATGGCTTCCTTTCTATGGTGTCAATCTTGACTTAATTTATTCGTTTGTCTGCAAAGAAATAAATGTGTTAAATATTCAAACTTATAATTTAAAAAAAAGAAGGGTTTTATTTTCAAATCACGATCAGTAAGCATCCAGCTAATGGTTTTAGCCAGTAACGCAGTATTTTTATAGATGTCTGACTTTTCGTATCCAATAGACGTCTAAACGACTCAACCGACTCAGGTTGCGTGGCTACTGTACTTTTTTGTTAATTGCCTTAACATTTTTTACGGAAACAAGTAAAATCTCTAAAATTTAGTATTCAGATGATTGGGGGACAGCATCTAGTTTTTGTGGTCCCACTTAAAAGTTGCATCTATCCAATCGAATTAACCGATTTCACGTTTTTATTGTTGGAATATAAACAATACTATAGGCTTTCAGGGTGCTTCGCTCCCATTTTCTATTTCAACTGTGAACGTGTGTTTACATTTGCATACATATCTCTTTGTAATAATTAAAAAAAAAAAAAATTGGCGGATTTTATAAAAAATGTCGTGGACTTTTAAAATTTAATGCAAATCATCTTTAGTTGAGGCAAAATTTAAAATTTTTGATCATCTATAATTCTTCCTTGGGGACATGTGAGGTACCACTTAAAAATTTGGGCCCGATCGGTTCAGCCGTTTTGACGTTTATTGGATACAAACGGACAGACAGACCGACAGACAAGCAAAGAATTTATATAGATAAAATGAAATTACAAGTATAATATAAACAAAAAAGTTTTGAGAGCTTGTCTCAAAGGAATCAATTTTCCGCTTTTTTTAATTGATAATCATTTTTATCCGAAACATTTTTAAATGCTTTGTTTTTGAAAATGGTTTTCTTAATGATTATTTTGCATGAAATCTATTTAATCGATTTCATTGTTTGTAAAGTTCCAACATATTCAAGGTTTGGTTCAACCAAATAGATTCCAGTACAATAGATGGCAACGCAGAATTTCTACACTCTCAGTATTCTTATGCCAGTCAACTCAGTTGATGTGACAAACAAAATTATTAATAATAGTGATTATTTTAGATAAAACGTATTTATTTTACAGTGAAATAAGTGAAATTTCGTATGTTCTTTATTTTCTGTGTTTTCACCTTTTTTATTGGAAAACATGTCAACAAATTTGAGAAAATTTCGTTGTTATATTTGACACTTGTGACGTCGTGTGTAATTAGTCCATTTCTCTGTTGCCACCTATTGTACTTGATAATCTAGATGGGTTCAACTATTTTAATTGTTTTAAAACAAGAAACAATACAACTGTGTACACTAGACAATTAAGACAATAACTAATTGACCTAGATTAGGAACTTCAAGAAATTCAAGTCACTTCGTTACATCCTTGGCCTTTGCTTTTCATTCTTCTCCATCTCTAGCACCGAACAGTCGTCTCAAATTCTAATTTTATTTCCATTTATTATTTTTCCGCAACCTATATTACAAACTATGAATTGCGGTACAGATCTTGTAGTTAAATGTTCAAAATATGTATACACGTCAGGTTGCAAAGATATATTAAATAAACTTCGTTTTTTATCTTGCTACAGCTGTAAAACCTAAATTTTATAATACGAATCTCATGAAGTTCATCCGCACAGCGATTTGATTTATCAGAGTGATTGGGACCCACCCAGAACTTCGAAGAAGTAGAAAGAATTGACAAATCCGTCTTGACAATTTTTTTGACGGGTTATTATTATTATTATTATTCGATAAAAAAACTATATATCGGAATAATTCCATTATCAGTAGGTTAAAAAAAGACATCTTAATCTTTCTTCCGCGCGATGTCTCAAAAGTTCCGGGTTAAACTTTATAAAATATGAGTGTTTTTATCTTTACAATAAGATTTGATATTTCAGTAAACTTAAATGAATATTTTAGTAAAAACGTGACCCATTTCATTGATTAAACTTAGAACAACTTTTTCTAATAGTTTTTCTTCTATAATACATAATTCACTGAATATTTATCGAATCCTGGTTTATAGTGGTAATTTATTTAACCTTTAAATTCAGTTTATTTCATCCGAATTCTAGAATCTTTAATTAGCAGGAAATTTTGATTTTTTACGCAGGTTTAAAAACACAATTTTTTGATAAACAACATATAATCAATTAATGGTTGAATATTAAATTATTATAATGATTGATAAACATTAAAAGAAAATTAGAATTTTTGGACAATTAAAAGAAAAACAATAAATAAAAGCCATAAGAAAGGCCTTATTGTAAAATTAAATATTTTTGTTTCATAGAACCGCGTAGTACTTTAAAAAAAGTTTATTAAGAACGTGTCTACTAACATAAATAAAGACTGCGTAGACACTTTAAAAAACTGTCGGTGAGAAGGTTCAGGACAGAATTGGTACACTATTCATGCCTCGCTTTAAAACAATAAACAATCCACTTAAAAAAACAAATATCTTGATATTTACATATCGGTTAAAATTCTATTAACCAATTCTACTTAATAAAGATTTTTTATGAAACAGTTATTAGAAGTTCTTTTTAGTGTGTACTGCAAGCAATGGTGTTGAATATGGAATACTAGATGCCTCAATAGTTTCTACATTTTGTTGTACCCAGGTATATATTTCATCTATATATATAAAGTAGTAATCTCTGTTTGCCCGCGCATAACTTAGGAACCCCATTGACCGAACCGAACGGTTGTCCAGTCATTGAAAACAAAGTGCCTCTCTAATAAAGTTTATGAAAGGGAGTGTTAGCGAAAAACAAAAGGGGTATAGGCTGATGGAATTTGTTATCGGTCACTACTAATCTAACTTTTATCTGTTGCATATATTAGAGGAAAATGGTTAAAGGCGTCTTATACCTATGAGAGCTTTGCATACATATAAATTCACAGAGTTGCATTATTCCACTTAGATTGAAAATATTACAATAAACTTTACAATTAATCATTCAGATATTATACAACCTACCAATGTCGATTTCGATTTGACCCATTCGTAGATAGTTGATTTTTCATAATATTCTTCTTTTTTTTACATACGATGTACTTTAAGGAGGATTATTTGACCTCTGGTGTCTCTGCTATTCAAATTTAATTTGAAATCAGCGTATACCCTTGATTTAGTTTTTCGCAAACACTTCCTTTAATGCGGATCAATAAACGTGCAAACTAATAGCAAAACCAAAGTCATTGATTTGAATTGAACAGGAAGATTTTAGGGTTAACATTTCGTGTTGTAGCAGAAAGGTTTCTTTGAATATAAGATGGATGAGTTGATGGGAAAAGGTTGAACGAATAATTGAAACCAATATCAGGTCTCACTATAGGAACAATCTGACTAAGCATTATGCTAATCAAACTCTATATTTTAAAAAGTTTGTTTGTCATTTAGTTTTGAGGTACATTTTCTTAACCTATCTTTTTTTATGACCAAAAGCTTCTTTTCTATTCAAAATGTTTTATTTCTATTTTTTTTGTTCTTACTGTATGTCTAATATTGTGGCAACCTTATCGTATACCATGGACATTTCAAACTATGAATTATGTTAGATCTAGTAGCCGAAATTTGGTATCAAATTTTACACCAGAGATATAGGGATTCGACAATGTTAGTTGGAGCCAAGTGTGTTTCATTTCATCTAAGTTTAAAACCATTTTGTTTTTGGTAAAATAATTTGATTTTGACTTTTTCAAAGCAGTTATTTAATGAAAACGATAAATAAATTAAAAAAATATCTACCATAGCTCTAAATGTAGCCTAGAGGTTATATGAAACCTTACAAACACCTCCTTACGGTAATATTATGGAAAACAGCCTCCAAAAATATATTAAAAATGATGTTAAACAAGAGTCTTTTCAACCAGTTTAAGTATATATTTATGTATAAAATCGTAATTACATGAAATGCATATTGCTTAAAACTGGTTTAGATAATATGTAATACAAAACACATGTATTTTGTATGGCAAAGTTTCGAGCAAATTGTGTTATAAAATTTACACGGAATTCAGCACACAAAAAAAAAATTTATTGCGCTTAGAATAATTTTAATTGCATTTGAATTATCTATATTTCGCGCTAATTGTTGTTGCGAGAAATACATTTTGAGCAATTTGTGCTTTGCTTGTGCATCAATTTTCAGTTTCGGTTTTTTATGTGGTTAAAGAAATAAAACTTTTAATATGAAAACTTTGTAATCTTTTATTTTTGATATTATTGTTTAGATATTGTATGACTAGAATGTGTTGACAGGAGCAAATATTAGATAAATTAGACTCCACTGTGATACAGTTTAAAGGTAGCCATTTTTATATTCAAAACCAAACCAAATACAGTTTAAAGGTAGCCATTTTTATATTCAAAACCAAACCAAATACAGTTTAAAGGTAGCCAGTTTTATATTCAAAACCAAACCAAATACAGTTTAAAGGTAGCCATTTTCAAAACCAAACCAAATACAGTTTAAAGGTAGCCATTTTTATTTTCAAAACCAAACCAAATACAGTGTAAAGGTGGCCATTTTTATTTTCAAAATCAAACCAAATACATTTTAAGGGCAGTCATTTTTATTTTCATCACAAACTGCATAATCTGTTAAAAAAAGTAACCTTTTTTTTTGTTTCCAAACCAAACAAATAAAATCGACAGGTCGCCATTTTTATGTTCCAAACCAAACCAAAAACTGTCCAGAGGGGAATATTTTAATTTCCAAACCAAACCAAAAACTGTCCAATGGGGATTATTTTAATTTCCAATCCAAACCAAAAACTGTCCAGAGGGGATTATTTTAATTTCCAAACCAAACCAAAAACTGTCCAGAAGGGATTATTTTAATTTCCAAACCAAACCAAAAACTGTCCAGAGGGGATTATTTTAATTTCCAAACCAAACCAAAAACTGTCCAGAGGGGGTTATTTTATTTTCCAAACCAAACCAAAAACTGTCCGGAGGGGGTTATTTTATTTTCCAAACCAAACCAAAAACTGTCAAGAGGGGATTATTTTATTTTCCAAACCAAACCAAAAACTGTCCAGAGGGGAATATTTTATTTTCCAAACCAAACCAAAAACTTTCCAAAGGGGGTTATTTTATTTTCCAAACCAAACCAAAAACTGTCCAGAGGGGGTTATTTTATTTTCCAAACCAAACCAAAAACTGTCTAAAGGGGATTATTTTTTCCAAACCAAACCAAAAACTGTCCAGAGGGGATTATTTTAATTTCCAAACCAAACCAAAAACTGTCCAGAAGGGATTATTTTAATTTCCAAACCAAACCAAAAACTGTCCAGAGGGGATTATTTTAATTTCCAAACCAAACCAAAAACTGTCCAGAGGGGGTTATTTTATTTTCCAAACCAAACCAAAAACTGTCCAATGGGGATTATTTTAATTCCAAACTAAACCAAAAACTGTCTAGAGGGGGTTATTTTAATTTCCAAACCAAACCAAAAACTGTCCAGAGGGGGTTATTTTATTTTCCAAACCAAACCAAAAACTGTCCAGAGGGGATTATTTAATTTCCAAACCAAACCAAAAACTGTCCAGAGGGGATTATTTTAATTCCAAACCAAACCAAAAACTGTCCAGAGGGGATTATTTTAATTCCAAACCAACCTAATACAAGTTTAAAGGAAACTATTAAAGACAAAATTCCGTATTTTTTCGTTCTCGATTTCATCCTTTCAAAAGTTTCATGAAAAGGTGTTTTCGTAGTTGATCCTTTCTAGTTGATCCCTTCTAGTTGATCCTTTCTATGTGATCCCTTCTAGTTGATCCCTTCTAGTTGATCCTTTCTAGTTGATCCTTTCTAGTTGATCCTTTCTGGTCATCCTTTCTAGGTGATCCTTTTAGTAAATCCTTTCTAGTTGTTTCTTTCTTGTTGATCATTTCTAGCTGATCCTTTCTAGTTGATCCTTTCTAGTTGATCCTTTCTAGTTGATCCTTTCTAGGTGATCCTTTCTAGGTGATACTTTCTAGTTAATCCTTTCTAGTCGTTTCTTTCTTTTTGATCCCTTTTAGTTGATCCTTCCTAGTTGATCCTTTCTAGTTGATCCTTTCTAGTTGATTCTTTCTTGTTGATCATTTCTTGTTGATCCTTTCTAGGTGATCCTTTCTAGTTGATCCTTTCTAGTTGATCCTTTCTAGTTGATCCTTTCTAGTTTATCCTTTCTAGATGATCCTTTCTAGTAAATCCTTTCTAGGTGATCCTTTCTAGTTTGCCTTTTAAGAAGTTTTTTTTCAACTTTGTCAAGTAATTGCAGCATCATTTTTCAATCTTATTATGCGATAAACGTCTCTATGGGCTTTTATTCTACCTTCTTATTGTGTTGGGTGTAATGTACATCACTTTGTAAATTATCAATTATTCATGGCATTTATTAAATCAGCCTTTTACAAACAAACCTATAAACAAAGTAAAATGGGAAATTGAAATTTTTCACTTGAAAATATCAACAAACGACATTTTTTGTAATATTATTTATTATATTTTTTTCAATGATCAGGGCTTTAGCGCACAAGATATCATATCAAAATGGAAGGGGAACCTGCACCGAAGAAAAAGAATTTACAGGTTAAAAAATTAAAGAATTGTTTTTTGTCATAATTTGTTTTAAATTACTTTTCTTCAGAAATCTTTATTTTAGGTTGAACCAGGAGCCGGGCCTTCATCCCTCTTTATCCTCTCCGATACAAACCCTATTAGGAACCATTCATCCCATTCCTCACATTCCTCACATTCATCCCATTCATTCCATTCATCACATTCATTCAATTAATCTCATTTATCCCATTCATTCCATTCATCTCATTCATTCCATTAATCTTATTCATTCCATTCATCGCATTCATTCCATACAACTCATTCATTCCATTCATTTCATTCATTTCATTCATTTCATTCATTTCATTCATTTCATTCATTTCATTCATTCATTTCATTCATTTCATTCATTTCATTCATTTCATTCATTTCATTCATTTCATTCATTCAATTCATTCCATTCATTTCATTCATTCCGTACATTCAATTCATCTTATTCATCTTATTCATTCCGTTCATCTCATTCATTCCATTTATCTCATTCATTCCATTCATTTCATTGATTCCATTCATTTATTTCATTCCATAATCTCATTCATTCCATACATTCAATTTATCCTATTCATCCCATTATCTCATTCATCTCATTCATCTCATTCATCTTATTTATCTCATTCCTCTCATTCATCTCATTCATCCAATTCATCCCATTCATTACATTAATCCAATTAATCCCATTCATCTCTTTTATCCCATTCATCCCCTTCATCCCATTTATCCCATTTATCCCATTCATCCATTTCATCTCATTCATCCCAGGCATCTATTTATCCCATTAATCCCATTCATCCCGTTCATCTCATTCATCCCATTCATCTCATTCATCCCATTCATCTCATTCATCAAATTCGTCTCATTCATCCTATTCATCTCATTCATCCCACTCATCTCATTCATCCCCATTCATCTCATTCATCCCATTCATCTCATTCATCAAATTCGTCTCATTCATCCTATTCATCTCATTCATCCCACTCATCTCATTCATCCCATTGATCACATTAATCCCATTCATCCCATTCACCTTAGTCATCCCATTCATTACAAATTAGCCTTCGATCCAAAAGTAGCATTTAAACTGATATTACTTTGAAGCTTGAAAAATTATAAAAAAATAAATTTGTCCAAATAAGAATATTTGCTTAAATGTGTCCCACATGTTTTTTGTACTTTCTTGATTGACTATGATAATGAATGCTAATATATAGACGAGCCACCAAATTTTTGATCGAATGGCCTCCTTTCGAGTACACAGTTCTTCTTACAATTATAGGTAACCAAATTTATTTTGAAGTAACAAGAGGCCCTCTTGGAGAATTGTATTATGTAATTTGTAAATTTTAATGAACTAAATCATTTTAACGAACACTTTTAAAAATGTTCATTTTTTAATATTTTTCATTTGTTTTAATAAATACGTTTAAAACCTGAATCAGAAACAGTCCAGCGCTTACCTTTATAAAAGTAGTAATCTCTGTTAGTATGCCCGATTATAATCCGCAAACTTCCTAACCGATCTGCCTCAAATGGGGAACTCCGTAGAAATTTTCTATTTTGAATGAGTTTACCTTCACAGAGTAAGTTTAGTACGTTTCCAGACAAAGCTGGGTTCCCACCCTACTTTCTTAGATCTATCTATACATGTATGAATATCTCTGTTTTACGGTTTAGATGTTCAATCATAACTCATGAACCACTGGTCTAAATTTTGAGATAGGAATTTTGTAGAATCACGGGAATATTCTTAGCCTGGTTTAAAACTTTTAGATTGTATGGGTTGACTTTAATTAGGAAAACTCCAGGCAAAGCTGGGTTCCCAAGCTAGTATGTATATAAAGCCCAGAAATGTCATTAGAAGGGGATCTTTCATTTGGAGTTTGCCTTACATATTCTGTATTTGTACTGTACAGCTTGCTCTAGTTGGTTGTAAGTCGACCCGGTTAATATTCTGTATTTGTACAGTACAGAATTGGTTGTAAGTCGATCCGGTGCATGAAATGAACCGGTGTTTCCAGTGAAAGTAACACTGTAGTATCCAACGAATTCCGATCATACCTCACGAAACTCTCCACCGATTTGCCTCATATTTTAATTTGGGAACTCAGTATAACCACGGAAATGTTCTTTAAACTTAGTTTAAAGATTCTCAGTTGAGTAGGTTGATTTTATTTGGAAATTTTATTTCCAATCAAAGCTGGGTCCCATCTTATTAATACATACAGGGTGTCCCGCGAAACATGACAGTATGCAAGACGACTTGAATATTGTCTTGATTTTTGATATAATTTGCTGCATTTATTTGTCAACCTAATTTTAGAAGTAAATTTTTAGAGATAATAATCACAAAATTTCCCTTGTCCTGCCATTTCCAAAATGTGGTCTGCCTTTTTTGTGCTTTCAATATTGCCCGAGATATGAAGAATTTCGTTCAGATTTCGACAATTTTGCTTTTATTTAACAAAATTGAAATCTGAACCAAACTCTTTATATCTCCGGTAATATTGAAAGCACAAAAAACGCAGACCACTTTTTGGAAATACCAGGGCTAGGAGAATTATGTGATAATTGTTTCAAGAATCATACATGTTAAAGTAGATAGAAGACGACTTTCAAGTCGTCTTGCTATTGTCATGTTTCGTGGGACACCCTGTATTATCTGGAAATGTGGGTGTTTTATGTTGAAAAAGTGATGCAAATAGTTAATGTAATAATAAGAACAAATAAGTAAAAGTAGAACGGTAATATAAAAAGTTGAATAAGAAATATCTGGCGATCTGGGGAAAATAACAACAGGGGTAAATACTCACAATCTATATTCTCCCCCCCCCCCATAGAATGTATTGAGGATTTTGTTTTTCAACGAAAGCTTTAAGTTTTAAACTTTTTTTATGTAATAATTTTCAAAGGGAATATATACTCCTGAAACTCAAGTGAGAGAAGACGTGACAGCTAAATATATTCTTTATTTATCTTGGTTCCTTTCTCTTTCAACCAATTAGTACTTTCCCTTTCTCTTTTAACCAATTCAAATAGTACTTTTACTTTCTCTTTTAATAATTAATATTTTCCTTTCTCTTTCCACCTGTTCATAGTACTATCTCTTTCTTTTTAAAGAAATTAATACTTTTTTATTTTTCAACCAAATTGTTTTGCTTTCCCTTTTTCTGTCAACCAATCAATTATTTTACCTATCTCTTTCAACCATTTTGTATTTTCCCTTTCTTTTTAAAACAATGCCTTAGAGTTCTGTTTTCTCTTTCAACCAATTAATCCTTTCCGTTTTTCTTTCAACCAATTCGTAGTACTTTTCCTTTCTTTTTCAACCAATAAGTACTTTCCCTAACTCTTTCAACCCTTTGTCAACCAATTAAGTATTTTACCTTTCTTTTTTAACCAATTTTTACTATCCCTTTCTATCAAAATCATACTCAATAATTTTCCTTTCTCTTTCAACCAATTAGTCCTTCCCGTTTTTCTGTCAATCCATCAATTCTTTTACCTTTCTCTTTCTGCCAATTAGATTTGTTTTTTCATACCTTTCAATCAATTAGTTAATTTCTTTAATCATCATTTTTTGTTTTCATTTCTCTTTCAACAAGTCTACCATTTATCTTTCTACTAAGTAGTACTCTCCTTTTCTCAGTCTTGTCCTTTGGTCTTTACCTCGTTAACTCGGTTTTACTTTTTTGTACCCTTAGATGTGTGCATTTTAGAACTGTATAGTACTTATTTTTAGTTTTACTTCTTCTATATATAATTTTGGCTTGTCTACGCCTGTCTGTTTGTTTGCTTGTGTCCAATAAACGTCAAAATGGCTGAATCGATCGGTTTTGTGTAGGACATCATGTGACCCCAAAAAGGTTTATGAATGTTCAAAATTTAAAAAGATCTTGTTAAAAAGTTTTTTTTATATTTGTAAAATTTTGAAAAATTTTGAAATCCTCGAATTTTTTTTTAAAAATGTACACAAAGAGAACATGTTCACGATTTCAATAGAAGATGGGCGCGAAGCATCCTAAAAGCCTAGTAACCCAAATGTGTAGATTTTTTGTGAGAACTTGCTTGTAACTTTAAGTTCAATGAGCACTGGTTTAGTGTTTTCTATATAAGTATTTTTCGATTTGAGCAATTTTTCTTTATTTTAATAGAACTCCCTTTATCTTTTAACATGAACTCCTTTTATTTTATATATTATGTTATCCTGACCATGACTTAAAAATTTTTTCAATTACAATTTTAGTCAAAAAAGATGCATTCTAGCATNCCCCCCCGCTCACCTCAGATACCCTTACTGGTTTTGCTGAAATAGCTATTTCCTTAGAAGCCATATTCTTAAATATAAAAATAGATAGATACATAGATACATAGATAGATGGATAGACAGAGTGATATATAGATAGATAGATAGAATTTGTGGATACGTACTGAAGGTTAATTCTAAAATTAATCTTGAGATTAACAAAAAGAGAAGATCACGCTTTGATCTCGATATCCACCATTCTAAAGTTTTCAGCTTTCAGTTTTCAACAAAAAACTGAAGGATATCGGAAATCATGGCAATTTTAACAATTATGCTAAATTCAATATTAAACAGGACAGTGCCAAGAAAATTGTAGCATGTGAAAATAAAAATGATCGAACTTTAAAATTAATTATTTTGATAAAGAATTAATAAAATACGGATAAAAATTCTTGTTAAAATCCTCTGCATCAAATGTTTTATACTTTTATCCAATATATATAAACAGAAGATTTCAACGAAATTCGATAATCCATTTCCATATCTGTAAAATTTGTAAATGTATATTTGTAGGATTACAAAAAACAGGCAAAGCACAAAGCTTAAAAATGTTTCCAAGGTTCATGTTTTAGGTTGAAATAACATAGTAATAGTAAATTGGCGGTACAGTCCAAAGTAGGACTGCAAAGGTTGGCCCAACTCGGATATTCAAATGTACGCCGGTGGGGCGTATACCGGTTGTGCGTGAAATTTAACAAAAATATATGTAACGCTATCTAACAAATTGCAAAGTTTTTGGATCAAAAAAAATCGATTGGATGGTTCTAGTCTATTCTTTTTCAAAGTTTCATAAAAATGAATTGATGAAGATTATTAAGAAAAATATATGTAACGCTATTTAACAAATTGCAAAGATTTTTTTTTGGATCAAAAAATCGATTGGAATGATTCTAGTCTATTTTTTTTCAAAGTTACATAAAAATGAATTGATGAAGATTATTAATATGAAGTGTCTCTTGAACGAGGGGAGGAAGGCCAACCACATCAATCTCTAGTCCGAACCACATTCTCCTCATTTTCTCGTCCGAACCACCTCGGAATCCTTGTCCTTCGATTATTTTGTGTTAAAAAGTTTCCAATTCTTGAAGATAAAACTATTTTTTTTAAATCTGGCCAAGTTAGGGCATAAAATATGGATGGACTAAAGTATTGCAATGATTATATTATGTTGGAATCTTCAAACCCATGAGATAGATGTCAAACTTTATTCAGGTAAAACTTAAATCTCTTCTGCCTCCGTAATGGCTGACCTTCGTGATATGAAAAAATAGCAAAATATTCGGCATACCTCTGCCTATAATTTTCCCCATGGAACCACCCGGAAAAATTTGTATGGTTTTCACTAAAGCTAACAAAAAAGATTGAAGTTCTATAAACTTGGAATTATTTGCGGCATTCTACACAAGAAATATCTGAAAATGCGCGTAAAAAAGGTGAACATTTTTAAAGAAATTAAACTTGAAATCTTAATTCAATTGAAACTTTTTTTTTGATTTACAAAAATTTGATATTTCATTTATGCCCTAACGTGGCCCGATTCTTTATACATAGTTTTATCTGGAAGGATTAGACACTTAAAAAAATAATATTGAAAGGACGAGGATTTCGAGGTGGTTTGGACGAGAAAATGAGGAGAATGTGTTTCGGACTAGAGATTGATGTGGTTTGCCTTCCTCCCCTCCTTGAACTCACATCTACAGTGTCTTTCCATCTGAGTGATCTTCTGCTGGTTGAGATAGATAGATAGATAGGACTGGGCAAAGTGCCGTTAACGCAACGGAGGTTTTCAAAAATTAACGGAAGAGTCCACTAACGAACGGCAAAAACCGTTAATTTATAAATCGTTAACGAAACGGATTAGCCGTTTTTGAAAAAACGAAACGAATTTTTTTATAAAAAACGTGAATTTCGTTTTTTGTCTGCTTAAAATAGCATGAAATTTGTAAAAAAATAAGTTCTGTATTATAGTTTTGAAATGTTGTCTTCTATGTTCAAAACTGTTAATGATTTCATAAACTCTTAAACGAACATTTTTCTGGCAAAATTAACGTTCTGTTCATACCTTTAAAATTAACGGCTACGTGAAGTTTTTCCTTTTTTAACGGTTGGAACTAACCTTTCACAAAACGGCTATAGAAAAATTGGAACGTGTCCAGCCCTGAGTGGAGGTCAATCTCCTTGATCACCGTCAGACTCAAACAAGCTTCATTCAAAGGCCCAAATATGCATTTATGTAAGAAACAGCTGTAAAGAAATCTTTTTTTTCTAAACCGAAATTTTAAAATTTTGTTGACTGTCTCCCAAACATGGATAAAATATGCAGTAACTATGAATAAATCAATTGAAGCCACATAAAGATATTTTAGAATATCGTAGTGACGTAGAATATTTGGATTCATACTCTTCTACTTTCATAATTTCATTTTCAAATTAGATAAATTTTTTGTTAAATAAACTTAGCCCATTTTTCAAATTTTCTATTTCTATTTCTATACATACACAGACATGGTATACTTAATATATGCATTCTATATAAATATTATAACATAATTATATTCCGGAAAACGTAGACTAATAGATCTAAATATATCCAAGAATAAATGTGTGTTTATACCAATATATTTATGCGACAAAAATGAGCTATATTTCATNGTTATTTGTATCCCACAATCGTCAAAACGGCTGAACCGATCGGGCCCAATTTTTTTGCCTTAATTCACATAACTATAAGGAAGGTTTCTGGTCGAGAAAAAAAAACAGAAAAATCTGCAAAATTTTGGAATGTAAAGCAGCATCTGAAGCTAAAATTGTTAGCAGAAAAAGGGCTTAGGGTTTCTACAGTTTTTTGACATTATTTCTAAAGTAATGATATTTCAGCAAATTGTGTTGTTTTGGCGATAGAAGAACCCCAGCCTAACAGGGACAAGACAGAGCTAGCGAGGAAATTGGTAAGTTTTTATTTTAAGTTTTTACAATAAATATCATGAATATATTATTCCTATTAAGTTTTTATTTTAAGTTTTTACAATAAATATCATTAATATATCATTCCTGTTTTTACTTTTTTCATGTTTGTCTTGTTTTCTGTTATTTTGCTCATATTATATGTTGCTACCCTTTGTTTGTTATTCTTTTTCTGGGGTTATTTTATTTTCCAAACCAAACCAAAAACTGTCCAGAGGGGATTATTTTAATTTCCAAACCAAACCAAAAACTGTCCAGAGGGGATTATTTTAATTTCCAAACCAAACCAAAAACTGTCCAGAGGGGATTATTTTAATT